TCCACCTGTCAGAAAGTTCAATCAGTTTACTTTATGTTTCCCTGTACGTTATCAACTGCAGCAAGAATCTAGACAGCGCCATACTGGGTCCCTGAGACCGCGCTTTCTGTACTGTGTAACTTCAATTCCTTCTGCTTTCTGAATCACTAATCACGTTCATCATTCCAAGTCAGGTTTAATTCTACTTGGTGGCTATTAGAACCCTATCAATACTAACATCAGGTGTTTTACGTATGGCAACATCTTTTTCCTGAAAGTTTTTATACTGAAAGATACCCCTTTTCCATCTCAAATGCTAATGGAATAATTACAACAAAAAAAAAAACACAGTTGCGTGAATGTTTTATTTTAATTGGCAGATATAAATTATATAATATATATTATAATAATAACATATACTGTATATATATATATATATATATATATTTATTATATTAAACATCTACATATAGTATGTAACTCTCGATTTGGTTAATTCTATATTAAATGTTTATCATATTTGTCAGATAATTAATTCATTTATCAACTCATTCAATTTATAATGTATTATTATTCCAATATTTTCATGTATAAATTGTATTAATATGGTCATTATTCTTGTGCATCTCTTGTTCTATATGTGCTTCACTTAAAAAGTGAAGCAGTAGCCAGGTCATGGACATACAATTCTTACCAAGTAGTAAATGAGCTTTAACATCATCTCTAATGTCTGCAATTCATTCTTAAAGTTCATCAGAAACACTAAAGTCTTTCTCTAAGCAATTCAGCCAGCTCCCGCTCCCAGAAGTAACCGTCTAATCTCTAATCTAAATACATAGCAGTATCCCTGGGAGGGGGAAGCAGGATGAGTTGAGCTGCTGAGAGTAGAGCCATTTGAAGGACACCAATGCTTATCCTGTGATCTTTGGATTTTGAAGATTGGTTGTTCCAAACTGTGTGTAGGTACAGAGCTCAGTGAGGGTTTGTTTTAAAGCTTATTTTTTTACATGTTTTGAATATGTACACTCTTAAAGCACCACTGCTACCACCCAAAATTATCTTAAACATTGCTCCCTGATAAATAAGAAGTGTTATACTTACCTCACCTGCAGCCCATGTTGCCAATCTTCTCTCAATCTTTAGGCATTCCTCCATCAGTTTCTTTAGCATTTAATAATCCTGGGAGTGTTGGATGCCTGTGTGCCCAACTGCACATTGTGGCTTGCAATCCTGCCCACCTGCTCACCCATTGTGTACACAATTCACAGTGCATGATGCATGATGAAAATTGAACTTTCAATAAGCGTAGATGAACACTAACAAGAAGTGACATTGCTGCTTTTAATATTCTTCCTCGCCATGTCCAGGCATGATGGAGTCTTCCTTTTTACAGCGATGATGTCACTGTTTTTTAAACAGTGAGTTTATATAAAACTATGGAAATGAATTTTAATAATTGGATAGACTTTGTAGATAGACTTTATTTCTATTCCAAAGTTCAGCTTTAACTTAGAGCTTTAAAGCTGAGCTAATTATTGGAAAGCTGGATTGCGTGTCACATATACTTTTATTTATCTTTCCTCTAATCTGTGAGCTATAAAATCCAGAGTGTTCTATATAAAAATGTTTGAATTGAGCTGCAATGTCAAAGTTTTGTCATGGCCACCTTCCTTGTAAATGAAGTTTGTTTATTTGCTTGAGCATGCACTGAGGGATTACATGGCAGTTCCAGAGCTCAAACTTGCAATTTGAGGGCCTCAAACACAGGTTTACTATAAAACAGTATACAGAAACCTTAGAATGGCAATATTGCAAAAGGGGCCATTTTTACAAACCCACTTAAGGGCAATGGTACTTAAAAAAGGCTCTCACCCCCTCATTACATTGTGTAGTATAAGTACAGACTTGGCTGGCCTGACCATAAACTGTAATTTCCACATTCCCTTGGTATAGTATTAGAAAGGGGATATGATGCATTCTTGTTCCTGGTAACATTGCTCCGTGCTCTGCTAAAGACTGATTATCTTAAGCCCCTTTGAGTGAGATCATGTGGCTATATGCTTAAGCACATGTGGGTCATGTGGCCTGAAACTGTGTGCTCCCAGAGCAGTTTTTTCTGAAGTAGTATATACTTTATTGTTATAAAAGCAGTGCCCATAGCGAAATAAAAAAAAATAGCAGAGGGCAGACATGCCTATGTGAAGAGGAGTAGGAAAGACAGTAAAGGGTTAAGTAAAGGTGGGAAGGTTGTAAAACATGTAGGTTTACCTGATTGGTGATGGGTAGTGCGGGGTGGGGTGGGGTCTTTGACACCTTTTGGGAGTGGTGGAGTGTGGGACAATCCAGTACAGGAGTGGCAGCGGAAGAGGAAACTTCCCTCCCACCCTCCCTTGGGGTTGTTTGGGTCTTTCAGTTCCTGGTTTGTTCTGGCTTTGGGGGGGTTGTTGGTCTTTGGAGGCGGCAAATCATTTTAAGCTAAAGTGAATGGTTGGGAACCATCGGTGGTATGGTGTGCCCAGGTGCATCCGGTTAACCAAGGTTTAACTGGAAGGTGGAGGTTCTGCACTGTGGATGGTGTGTTTTGTCTCTGAGCCGTGCGTTGCGGCTGAATGCTTAGAATTAATATTATGGTTAAGGTTCCGCAGGGGGATATCAGTTTTGTTTGGTGCCTTCTAAGACCAACAACTTCTCCTGTATGTTTCTGTTTTAAGGAATGTGTTTGTGATTTTGAAGTTGAATTGTTAATAAAAGGCAGTGATGGCCATTTTACTCCAACGGTGTTTTGGTCTCCTTTATTGGTATATTGAGAGTTGGGGGGAAGGGGATTATCGAGTGAGAGAGAGAGTTGTGTAGGGGATGGTTCAGTAGCTATGGTTTTAACTAGCACTTCTCTTCTACACTAGTCATGGGATTTTTACTATAACAAGGGAGTAGAGTGCTCATTATGACAGGAAATTTGTGTTTTCACTGAACAGAAATTTTAAAGTAATCCTGTGGTCACAGGCAAGGGATAGAGAATGCTCGCTCACATACTTTGCAGAGCACCCTAGTAACCCCAAAGCAAATTTTTACAAGCCTCTATCCAAGAGATCAGGCCTACCATCTCCTTTCATCCTCTGTACCTACAAGGTATATGAGCATGTACATGGTCACCTCTAGGTCATTGCTTTCAATTTCTGTTGCTAGTTTAGTTGTTAAACTGAAAACAGAATCGCGTCAAACTTGCTAATATTTTATCAGATGATCGGCTGCACATTTAATAATTGCCTATAATAATATGCTAGTCGAAGATAGACCACAATTAAAGCATAAGGTTAGTTAACAATAAAAAAAAAACTGAAAAATCAGCACAAGGGACATAACCTACTGTTAGTATGATGTGCCCCTTGTGTTGATTCTTCCCCTTTCAGTAGAAATCTTCTTCCGGTGTGATGGGGGTTGTTAAAACTAACAGGCTGTTAGGAACCCTCATCAAGTTTGGCCATGCGGGCCCCTGGCTACTAGATCCTTCATTGAAGCTGTACTACAGTTTCTATGAATGGCATAGCATCTCTGAATGGAGGGGGTGGGGCTATCAATCATCCACCCATCCCCCATTCAGAGATCTTATCTGCGGCAGGAGCAGGGGCGAGGGGGGTGCTAGGACAGAGGAAGATTTCTTTTGAAAAGAGAAGGATCAACACAAAGGACACATTATACTAACTGTAAGTTAAGTCCCTTGTGCTGATGTTTCTGTTTTAACTTTTTGCTAAACTTAGGCTTTAGCTAGAGCTCTGTGTATTCCATTCTTTACAGATGTCAAGTAGACCCATCATGGGAGAATTATATAAGTTGACCCTGCTGGTCTCTTTCTCAAAATGCTACCTGCCTGGCTGTCATGCTGATCTTCATATCTAAATACCTTCTAAGTTGCCTACCAAGAAAAGTGGAGAAAAATTAGAAATCCTTATCTTTCATTCATTCTTCTTAATACATTCAAATAAAATAACAAGCAAGACAGACAGACAGCTAGCATTTTCATGCTGTTTCCATGACAGATTTACTTTAAGACAGCTATAGATAAAGATAATTTATTCACTGCAGCAGTGGTATCCCTCCTGCAGAGCCATTGTTTTCTCCCAAGGAGGGGGGGGGGGGGGGTTAAGGTGTCTCCTCCAGGAGAACACAGTGATTATTGCTAGTGGCTTTAACAGCTGCTAGTAATAATTGCATGTAAAATCCAGCAGGTTGGTTGTACCCAAATTGATTGATCGATCAGCCTGCCCATACATGGTTACAATCTCTGGTGAACCAGCTGAGATTTGAACCGTCTATGGCTGGCTTAAGGCCTCGCCTCATGCACAATGGACATTTGCCCTTTTCCTCTGAATACTAGAACTTCTGGCAGGAGTAAAGCTGCCTAAAAAACATGCCTAAAGCTGTATGTTGCACACCTGTTTAGGCAAATTTTGACAATTACGGCCATTGGAATGCATTACTGCTCAAACAGGCCTAATGGTAAACGCATCTGCATGCATTTAGATGCATCAAGCATTTTTCCTGCTCAAAAGCTCTTCTCCTGAATGCTCTGGTGCTGTAAATGCTCCTTTTCTAATATGCCTGTAAACCCTTATATGTACATGTACACATAGGCTAACAAAGAGGTGCTTTCACAGGCTGAGCAGAAACACCTGACAAGGTGTCTGTTTTTAGGCCCAATGTGCATGAGGCCTAAGAGGAAATCTATTTTAATTACAATTTAGTTGATTGACCATACACTTTATGAAGTAACAGATTCATTCCTGCTGGTTTTGATTTCTACAGCTTAGAACCCTTCTCAAATGAATGTGATACATAGTACAGAGCACTTGTCATTAAATGGGGCTGCAATACCAGATATCACAAGAAGAGGTAAAACCTAGAACTGCAAATTTTGAACCTGTAAAAACTAGATCGGCATTGGAAAGAATCCTCTGTTTTACTAAACAGGGGGATATAAGTCAATCTGTATTAATAAACAAATAAATAAAAGGAAATCTGCTTTAGGGATTAATTTTTACAGATTTACGGAATAGTAGTTGGGCCGCCTTCTTAATGCTCTGGTTTCGCATACTGTAAAGTATTGGGTTAATTAGAGGAGTTATTGCTGTGTAAAGCAAAGACTTCAATTTGTTTTCATATGGTGTGTTTCCCCCAACTGGAAACATATAGATAGCTATCAGTGGTCCGTAATAGGCGCACACAGCCGCCAGATGAGAACTGCATGTGGAGAAGGCTTTTTGTCTTCCGTCATTGGAAGACATCTTGATGATAGCTATAAATATACAGATATAGGATATTATAACAAGTATAAAAGGGGTAAATGCCAAAAGAATGGACAGAACAAAGTCTTCAAATACCACTGTGTAAGTGTCTGTGGAGGCCATTTCCAAAATGGGTGTAAAATCACAGAAGAAGTGGTCAATGATTTTGGAACCACAGAAACTCATTTGGCCAATAAAAAACATTTCACTTGGAATGAGGATGATGGGAATAGCCCATGGCCAGAAGACCAGGTTGAAGCATAGTTTATTGACCATAAGAGAAGTGTACCGGAGTGGGTGACAGATGGCTAGGTATCGGTCAAAAGCCATAGCTGTGAGAACCAGAGATTGTGTATAGGTTGCAATGCAATGGAAGTAGTATTGGATGAAACAGCTTGTTTTGGATATGACTGTTCCACCTAACCAAGTCACCTGTAACATTTTTGGTGTGATGTTGGAAGTCAGGAGAAGGTCCGCCAGTGCCAGGTTCCTGAGGAAGATATACATGGGGATTTGAAGGTCATGACAAGATGACACAAGTGTGACAATCAGGCAGTTTTCAATGACAATCAAGAGATAAACCACCATGAAGAGGAAGAACAGCAGAACCCTAAGATTGTACAACTCATGAAATCCAAGCAGGAAGAACTCAGAAAATTCTGTCTCATTGATCTTACACATTGTTTCTGTATCTTGTTTTTTTAATCCTAGGAGGCAATAACATAAGATAAGTCAGTTAGATTGAATCTTAAAACTCCTAGGCACACAACATTTAACTGAGTGACTATTGATGACCAGCTGGTCAAATGTCTTTATTGTCACACTTTGCAATACCAATATAGAAACAGCAAATTAATGCGGAATTACGTTTGTTTGATAGGCTTCGCAATTCTAGTGAATTCTAGTGAGCAACAAGTTTAAAAGGCTAAATATCAAACCTATGTGGCTTAAAAAGGCTATAGATAATAAGAAAAGAGCTTTTATGAAATATAAAAATGAAGGAACACTATCATCGTTTAAACATTATAAAGAATATAACAGAATATGCAAAAAGGAAACAAAGGCCTCAAAAATTGAAAACGAGCGACAGATTGCAAAAGATAGCAGGACCAACCCAAAAAATTCTTCAAATATATTAATAGTGAAAAGGTCCAGTCCGAGCATGTAGGTCCTTTACAAAATAAACTAGAGTGGGTGACTGGGGACAAAGAGAGGCAAATTTATTAAATACCTTCTTCAGCTCTGTGTATACAAAAGAGCATGGGGGAGCTCTTGTCCATAATGGGCATGGTATTGACACAGCTCCAGATGATCCACATTGGCTCACAATTGATATGATCCACAAATATTTAGACAGAATAAAGGTGAATAAAGCACCTGGACCAGATGGCACACATCCACGGATCCTTAAAGAATTAAGCTCTGTCATTTCAAAGCCATTGTTTCTAATTTTTAGGGACTTTTTAATGACAGGCATATTACCACTAGATTGGCGTAAGGCCAATGTGGTGCCCATATTCAAAAAGGGGTCAAAATCTTTACCAAGTAATTATAGACCTGTTAGTTTAACTTCTATAGTTGGGAAGATACTGGAGAGCTTAATTAAAGACCACATAGATGAGTTCTTGCTGGAAAAAAATATTTTAAGCAACAGACATGGATTCATGAAAGACAGAAGTCGTCAAACAAATCTGATTACTTTTTATGAGGAGGTGAGCAAAACCTTGGATAAAGGGAAGGCGGTGGACGTGGTATACTTGGACTTTGCAAAAGCGTTTGACACAGTTCCCCACTCACGGCTAATGTGTAAGGTAAAGTCTAAGGGCTTGGAAAAATCTGTATGTAAATGGATAGAAAAACTGGCTAAAAGATCGTATTCAAAGAGTAGTGGTTAATGATTCATACTCTGAATGGTCTAGGGTTGTCAGTAGTGTACCCCAGGGTTCAGTGCTGGGACCCTTACTTTTTAATATATTTATAAACGATATAGGGTCTGGGATTAAAAATCCCATTTCACTCTTTGCAGATGACACCAAGCTGTGCAGTGGAATAATGTCCTTACAGGATATATTCAATTTACAATCTGATCTCAATGCACTGTTTAATTGGGCAACTATGTGGCAAATGAGGTTTAATGTTGATAAATGTAAAGTTATGCACTTGGGGGCTAAGAATATGCAATCAATCATACATACTAGGGGGGGAACAACTGGGAGAATCAATGGTGGAGAAGGATCTGGGGGTTCAGGTAGATCACCAGCTTAATAATGGCATGCAATGCCAAGCTGAGGTTTCTAAAGCGAGCAAAATCCTCTCTTGTATTAAAAGAGGTATAGACTCCAGAGAGAGAGATATCATACTACCCCTGTACAAATCATTAGTAAGACCTCACCTTGAATATGCAGTTCAGTTTTGGGCACCAATTCACAAAAAGAACATTGGGCAACTGGAGAAAGTACAGAGAAGGGCAACTAAACTGATAAGAGGCATGGAGGAGCTCAGCTATGAGGAAAGATTAGAGGAACTGAATATATTCTCTCTTGAGAAGAGGAGATTAAGGGGGAATATGATCAACATGTATAAATACATCAGTGATTCATATAGTGAACTCGGTGTAGAGCTATTCACCCTGAGGTCATCACAGAGGACAAGGGGGCACTCGTTACATCTGGAGGAAAAGAAATTTAATCTCCAAACACGGAAAGGTTTCTTCACAGTGAGAGCTGTGAAAATGTGGAATAGATTCCCTCAAGAGTTGGTTCTGGCCAGCTCAGTGGATTGCTTTAAAAAAAGGCCTGGATTCTTTCTTAGATACACAGAATATAACTGGATACTAACATTTATAGGTAAAGTTGATCCAGGGAATATCCAATTGCCTTTCGGGGGATCACGCAGGAATTTTTTTCCCTGTATGAGCAAATTGGATCATGCTTTGCTAGCTTTTTTTTTTGCCTTCCTCTGGATCAACTGTGGGTATAGGATTATAACTTTTTTTTTTTTAAATGGTTGAACTGGATGAACTTTTGTCTTTTTTCAGCCAAACTATGTAACTATGTAACTATGAAGAAGCTGCCGCATCTTCCTACAATATTTTTCTGAACTTATATAGCAGTCAGCACTTAGTACTCTTAGTATATACATTATAGGTAAATATAGCAGCACTTTTTGTGACAATATCCTTTGACAAAATATACAATAAATATACACCGATCAGCCATAACATTATGAGCACTAACAGTTAAAGTGAATAACATTGATTATCTTGTTATAATGGCATCTGAAAATGGGTGGGACATATTAGGCAGCAAGTGAACATGTTGTCCCTGAAGTTGATGTGTTAAAAGCAGAAAAAATGGGCAAGCATAAGGATTTGAGTCTTCCAAAACTATGGAGCGCCAGGAAATAATAATGCACAATATAGTGTTAAGGGCAAAGGTTATTATAAATAAAACTGTGACTCTTTGTACATATATGTGTCTCTAATATATGATAGTGAATAAAGTCAACAATATGCAAATTAACTCCAAAACAATAAAGATTGACATTCAATTTTTTTTCATGTATTGATGCCTTTAAAGACCCAATGACTGGGGTTCTATAAGAAGTACCTCATGGTCCTTTTTTTAATGGACCTACCAAAAGTGGTTGAGGGAAAGAAAACCAGTGAATTGGCATCAGGGTGATGGGTAGCTAAGGAGAGTGAAGCGCATGTGGAGAGTGACGGCTGGCCAAGGTAACCCAATTTAATAGAAGAGGTACTGCAGCTGAAATTGCTGAAAAAGGTCATGCCGGAACTGATAGGTGTCAGAGCATTCAGTGAATTCCAGTTTGTTACATATGGGGCTGCGTAGCAACAGACCGGTCAGGGTGCCCATGATGACCTGTGTCCACAGCCTAAAGTGCCAACAATGGGCACGTGAGCATCAGAGCTGGACCAAAAAGCAATGGAAAATGGTGACCTGGTCTGATTTTCTCAAGCATGGTTTGAGGAACAAAACAATGAGTTCAAAGCATTGACCTGGTCTCCAAATTCTCCAGATCTCAACTCAATCAAACATCTGTGGGATGTGCTAGAAAAAAAAAGTCCAATTCATGGAGGTCTCACCTCTTTAACTTACAGGACTTAAATGATCTGCTACTGATGGCTTGGTGCCAGATACCACAGAATACTTTCAGAGGTCTAGTGGAGTCCATGCCTTGAGGTGTTATGATTGGTGGTCATAATGTTATGGCTGATGGGTGCATAGAGCAAAGTGTATGTAATAGACTTGAAAAATTGTCCATAATGGCTAAGCTTCCACTTGTGCATGCTGCGTTCTGGATGTAGGGCAGACCATTCATTTCAATGTAATGCCTTACCTGCAGAAATGTGGGTAAAGAAGTGCTGATCCTTTTTTTTAAAATCACACTTCAATGAACTGCTGCGCCACCATGTGGTTTTGCATGTGCAAAAGCGTTTGTGTCTGCTAGAATTTCAATTGCATGTCAGGAACGCGTGTGCACACTTTCCTGGCATACAATAATGGGAACCTAGCCTAAACAAGACAGATCATTCTTGTTACTCCTGTGATTATTGCACTGTTCATGTGCTGAATAACTGTGAACACAGTCACATGTGAATACTTGAGCACTTACTATTAATCCAATTTGTGGATGGGTGCAGAGTGGTTCCATAACAGTGAAGACACAATGGGGTTTATTTACTAAAGCTGGAGAGTCCAAAATCAGACTCCCTTCTGCAGAGAAACCAATCAGCTTCTAACCTCAGCTTGTTCAATGAAGCTTTGGCAATGAAACCTGGAAGCTGATTGGTTTCTATGCAGAAGTGAGTCTGATTTTGCACTCTCCAGCTTTAGTAAATAAACCCCAATGAGTCCAGTTGCAATAAACAGAAGTTGTATTGAGAAGAAAGTTTAATGATACAAAAAGCCCAGTGGGAAGGTACCCAACTGGGAACATTCACAATATGTCTGGCAAAGTAGAAGTGAGTGGTTCTTAAGCGTGCTGACAGGGTCTGTCCCAAAGGGTGGAATGCGGCCTCGCCAGTCTGCACCCAAACGGGAAGATTCCAAGAAGGCAGACATGTCCCTAGCTTGTCCTTACTCATCAGGAACCTCTCTCTACCACTAGTCACTTTCCCTGACAGATGGTAGATCTGTCCCTATTCTGTCCACTTGCAACAATGCATGCCAAGCCCGAGACCAGGGTCTTAAATAAACTCTGCCTGACCCAAGATGGGCTCCTGAGTCCCATGGGACTGCGACATCCAGCTAGATCGCTTCACAGTGACCCAGGAAACCATACAGGAGTAAGTTCCCCCTGACTTCCTCTCTCCCTGCAATGCCACTGTGGCTTGAGTGCCTTCTGCAGTGAAGAAAAGAGTCTGCACCTGCCTACAACTTCATGAATATCCCTCTCCCCTGAACTGAACTGAAATCATCCTCTTTAATATTCCAAAAATGTAATTCATACTCAAAGATCTATGGCATCTCAACCAAGTATTACCTTCTTATCATGGTTGGGATACCAATATATCCAAAGGTACATATGACCTTGTAGACTGGCCACTAGAGGCATCAAAGATATAC